AGGACATAATTTGGATGCTCAAATCATTCAACAAATCTTCCAGGGCTTTTCTTATCGGCAGTGGAGAGAAACAGACTTCAGAGCATGACTGAACACATTCTCAGCCTCTCTTGGGAGAAGGATGTTCTAAGTTTTGATCTCTATGCCCTTTGTTTGTGTGCAGCACAACAACAACAACAACAAGAAGCATTGTTCCACTTGCAGTCCTTACATACTTCTCTAGGAGTAGCTAATCCCAAAGATCCAATGCAAACCATGTGCGCACTACATTTAAATATTTGGGTGTGCAAATAAACTGGGGTGCCTTACTAAGGTTTCAGAAATGGGTTTGGTTGTCTGTACAGAACAAAGCCTTTGGGAAATATTGCTCCATTGGAGCATCATCCTGACACTCCAACAGCTTTAAAAAAATCCTTATTCTTTTCTCATTATTATGAAATAGCACACTTTCCTCCCTTGATCAGGGAATAGCCCTCTACATCTGACTCCATCACCTTTCCGACTTCTGCGCTATTGAAAGGCAGAACGGTGACTTAGCCATCTGTATTGGGAATTTTTCTTGCAATTCATTGTGTCCATATTCTGTTCTTTTATGAATATAAATGCCACAGAATATCTGGGTCAATGATGTCCAAAGTTCTTTTACTCACATCTTTAATTGACTAAACTTAAAACAGGCCGTTCGGTGAACTTCTTTGGGCTGTATTGACAGCAATTTCTTTTAAAGAAAATGTCAGGGTATCTTGCTTTTCAACATCGAAAATGTATTATGTCTTGTATGTGTCTTAAACCAGTTTATTGGAATGGGGCTTGAAATGCACACACTGTTCAATATTTGAATGTTTGGATCTGTATTCCACTTTGTTCCTCCTTGTCTGTGTTTTTAAACCTTTGAAAGAAGAAAAATTTTATGCCCTCTCTCTGTACCATTTGAATTTATTTATAGACTGCTAGGATCTCACAGAGATTTACAATACTAATTAATTAACTTTCACATTTCCCTTGGGTTGTAGGTAAAGATTATTATCCCCATCTTGCAGGGGTCACCCGTGCTCTCCTCTTATGTGTAAGTTCTCTCCTCCTTGTGTAAATCAGCAATACCACCACTAAAATCGAAGGCGTTATACTGCAGTAGAATTGATATGAGTCAGGGAGGAATCTGGTCCAGAAAATGTACAGACAATGAGCTCAAATGGGTTTAAATGTGTGTTGCCTTCGTGGGACTTCAGTATCTGAGGGGAACCTAGAAGAAAGATGGAGAGAAACTATTTACAAGAGTACAGAGTGACAAGACAAGGGGGAATGGCTTTAAACTGAAAGAGGGTAGATTTAGGTTATATATTAGGAAGAAATTACTTTCTGTGAGGGTTGTGAGGTCCTAGAACAGGTTGGCCAATGAAGTTGTGGATGCCACATCCCTTGAAGTGTTCAAGGCCAGGTTGGATGGGGCTCTGAGCAACCTGGTCTAGTGGAAGGCGTCCCTGCCTACAGCAGGGAGGTTGGAACTAGATGTGCTTTGAGGTCCCTTCTAACCCAAACCATTCTATGATTCTGTGATTTTAGAACTGAGAGATGAATAGGGTTGAGAGTTTCATGGGGGATATGTTGGATATGGGATCTATTGAAGTTTGTAAGGGCCCATATGATTGAGAGCTGAGGTGTACCTAGCTCCTGCAGCATTCCTTGTGAGCAGAGGCACACTCAAGAGTCACACTTAGCAAAAATGCTCCAACCAGCCCTCTGCACACAGTTTGGGTACTCGCAAGCCCTCAAAAGGGTCCAAGAGCTGGGACAGGAGGTCCACAAGCTTGGTGCAGAGACAGAAGCAAAACTGGCAGAGGGATTTTGTAGAAGCCTGGTCCCCTTCCAGGATTTCAGTGCTGTTTGTGCAGATGAGATCTGAGTGTGATCAGCCAGTGCCTACCCACAGCGATGGTATGATTTACAGACAGTGCAAATATAGCTTTGAAAACAGATGCCATCCTTACCATTCACAACAGAGTACTTTGGCAGGCTCTGTCCTGGGATGAGAAGCACCTTCTCCATGCCTGCAAGAAATAACAGTGTTGGCAAGTCATGTTTCTAATGGCTTTGTTAGTTTGGGAACAGACTGGTCAGTACTTTTCAGGTCTAAGCCCAAAATAACTTCTCCAAGGTCAGGCAGCAGAACAAGAAATAAATACTGGCCCCCATATGTTGGCTCTTACTTTTGGATTCTTTCCCTGCCTGTCTTTCATTTAATGCACTTGGTCTTTAACTGTGCATGGTGGTGGTTTGTTTCTGGACTCTCCATAGCAGCTGTATTTATGGTGGCTCCACAGGCACCTCTTAATCTGCCCTCTCCCCGTGGAATTGTCTATTAGCACTTTTTATGAGCTTCTTGATTTAGAATATATATTGTGAACTTCGGGAGCACTCTCTGGACAAAGACTTGTTTATGGTGCTCACGTCATTCTTAGTTCAGAGTGTTTATGAGCCCAAGTCTCCTTGTCACTACATTACTTTGGAATAATATAGATCTTTTTCTTCTGTGTTCTAGCATTTTCCTGGCCATATAGGAGACATACCAACACTTCAAGTCTTAACAATTATCTCATTAAGATATTTTACACCTTTCTTCACTAAATCTGGCAAGTACAATAAAGCAATTCCTTCGATTTACATGCTGGACATGCATCTGGACATTTTATCTACTCCTTCCATTAAATTACTGTTGCTTTTGCCAGATTATGTTGGTGCTATCTCTGACTGCTTGAAAGATAAGGCTAGCAAATAAGATTAAAAATAAACACAATTATTTTTAAAAACCTTTTGTGCATACAGAGTTTTTGAAATCTTGGCACAATTAAACCCTCTTTTTCTTCAAAGAATTCCACCTAAGAAGGCATATTATCTTTATTGTTTGAACCTTAGTGAGGGCCATTCTTGCAGCTGGTGATCTCGTGATGCAAGGTGCTGTATGAAGAAAGAAGAAAAGACACACCTTGAATAGAGAGAGGATGTGTTTTGATCCCTGTTTTACAGACAGGAAGTTGAATTAGGAATGTTCCCCAGATTGCCAGGACACCTAAGGCAAGATAGAAATTTATAATGTTCTCTTGAGTCCCAGTCAAGTACCTCAACTGTTTGACCAGGCTCCCTCTGAAAAATGGCGTTTATGAAACCCCAACAGCCTGGTTGTCCAGCTGAGCCACCTCAGGACACTGCCTGCAGGAGAGAATGGGAGTTAAGGGCTTTTGTGGGCATTGTGCAGACTATTACATCCTTGCAGTTGGCATAGCAGAGGCTACCACTTGTTTTATTGATGTATGTAACTTAAAGGAAACTGCCCTCCTGAAGGAGAAAGGTGGAAAATAAAACTAGCAAAATCAGGAGAGGGTGTAGGAATATTTTCTACTGCTTTATGCTTATCCTGTAGTTCCTCCACTGTCTCCCCTTTGGCCTCTGTCAGCTGTCCCTGTCACTGTGCCTCCTGAAGCCCTGGTGGGTTTCTCCACCACTAGTGATTGGTGCAGCCTCAGCATTGCTTCACCGTGTAGGAAACTGCCTCTCAGCCAAGCCTGGCTGGATCTTGCTGTGCAGCCAAAGGCACAGCTATCTCTGTAGCAGAGGTGTCAAGGGAGATCTGTGTCATCATCTGAATGTGATAGTTCGCAGGTGAAGGTGTTTTGGTCTAAGATGCCTCTGCAAACTGCAGCAGCAGCGTCATCAGACGTGTGCTGTTCTGAGAGTGCAGCTCTGGCAGCACCATGACCCCAACACCTCAACAGAAAGACTTATCACAGCTCATTGCAGAAGCCCACAGGCAGGAACCCAAGCGCAGGCTGAGGAGGCACAGGGAGCCTGATGAGTGCTGAAGGAGAGGTTACAGATTTCACAGTGCTTTTTAATGCAAGTTTCTCTGACACACATCTGCTTATGCAAACACTGTGTGCTACTGGGCTCAGTAACAGTGTGATAAAGCAGTTTGGGCAATTCCTTTTTTCCTACCTGTATGTCAGTCCCAGTTTGATCTGTGAAATTTTTTTCTTTTCTGTTTTATCCCAACTAGTTATTTTCTATAACAGCTGTGCTCCAGCACCAAAAGCGCTACTATGCTGCATGGTCCACATAAAATATGGCTAACATCAAACAAGAAAGCAGTTGTGCTAAATTTCCTTCCTTTTTCTTTTAACATTGTTATTGTCCCTGATCTCCTTGTAGCTAATTAATTCCCCAAATGCCTTTCTTTTTGCTCACAGTCCATGAGTCTCCTTGTAATCTTTCCTTCTTGCTTCCTTGTAGAGGGATGCATCTTCCAGTCCTTACCCCACTGTTTCTTTGTGGCACTGTACTTCCATACTGCAATAAATATCTATGCCAAAAAAAATCGCTTCTCTCTGATTATTTCCTAATTAACATCACTAATCTCTTTGCTCATCACTTACTTATATTTTGATCCCTTTTCAGACCACTCCTCTATCTGTTGCCTTAACCTCTCGTTGCTTACTTCTTCTACTTTCTTCTTCTTTTAATATTTCTGCTCACATTTCACTCTATCCGAGGAGAAACTGAGTTAAGGAGACATTGACAGATCCTGAAGGAGGAATGGCAGCAGGGGTGCAGGAGGCATCCTACTGAAACGCACAGTTTCTTTGGGAAAAGCCTGATTCAATGTAGCAGGAGCAACGCAGGCACCTGCTCTTCAGGAGCAGTGGCTCTACCATACAGAGAGTATCCCATAGCTCTTCAGGATGCTTAAAAGTTGGCTTCCTGTTGTATTTTACCCTCTGACCCTCTCTTTTCTTAATTAATTTTCCAGTTTTCCAATCTCCCTTACTGGTCCCACTTAGGCATGCCAATAAAACTACTTTCCTGCACAGTGAAAACCTCAGGCAAACCAATTCTCTGAAGTTCAGAGGATAAAATGATGATTCTTCTGGGTTGGCCAAAATAGTTTTGGCCAGTTCCCAGCACTGTAGTGTCATAATTTGTCATTTTTGCTCCTGTTCAGTAGATCTGTGGCTCATTTCGTATCCAAAAATATCTGAAAGCCAGCCAATGAAGTATGACCTGGTCATCCTCAGCTTCCTTCAAGAGACAAGGTAAATCCTCTTATCTGCTTTAGAAACCTGTCTCCTCTTGGGATAAATCATTATCTGAGTCCTCCCAGTTTTTTTTCCATTGATGGATACAGCTTTTCTGGCTTCTTGGGTGATTGTCCCAGACACAGATTTTTGAAGTCTGTAATGTGCAAGGTATCAAGGTAGAGCAGGATCTAGGACAGTAACATGAACAACAAAAATAGTGATGTTACGTTAGGGATTGGAATAATATTTTGAAATTAGAAAGAACAGCCCCTCAAGAAAAATAATAGGAATCACTTTAACAAAAAAAGAAAACAAAATAAAAAAAAATATGGATCAAAATCACTGGGGAGCACTACTAAGGTTCCACTGCACACTCCCATTCAGTGTAAATGGGGTTTGATAGTGCTCTGCTCATCATGCCTCCTCTAAGTGTTGAAAGGTGCTGTTTTGGATAAATCATTTGGCTAATGAGGCTGCTGGGTGTATCATTAATGCTGTATCCTGTGTGGTTCATGAAACCTAAGCCCATACAATGGCCTGGGAGAGAACTCAACTGTTGTGTAATTGAAAATTTTTATGTTATTTACAAAATATGGCAAAATTGAGAGAAGGTTTTACAGTGCATATTAAGCTGTCTGGTGAAAAGAATGGCCCTGCTAAAGCTGTGGTTAAAATAGCTGCTAGTTTGGAAAAAAAAAACAAGGAAGAAAGAGAAGACTAGAGCAAGTCAAGCTCCTAACAGGGTGGTCCTAACAGCACCTTGCCCAGGTGCTAGCAGCAAAAAAGGCCCATTTCCAGTAGGAAAGTGCTGGCCATCAGTCACTGCACACAATGTAGCCTTGGCAGCTGCACTGCTTTTAGGTAGCCATCAAGAAACCTGCCTAGAAAAAAGAGAAGGAAAAGAGTGAAGCAACAAATCTTGCAACAAGATGAAAACTTGAGGAGAGATGTATGCAGGGACATCAGGACAGCTTTGAAGGAACTTTCATTTCTTTGCATAATGTTGCTTCCAGATTTGCTAAGAGCTTTATATTTTGCTTTCTGAGAATAAAAAACTATACCTATAATAGCTATCCCAAAAGTTGCAGAGCCTCAAGGCTAACTGTCCTCTGACACCTAATGTCAAAGTTTGGACACATCCATACTGTTCCTGGGCTCTGGAAGGTCTCCCATCCCCAGAATAGGAAGTCTGGGTGCAGAGAGCCTGAGTTCCTTGAGGAGCAGTAGCTGAGCATGCCAGGGATCTCACAAATAGTTTATTAACACAGAAATCTTGGCTCCATCTCCCACGCACAGTTGAGTTGCAAGGTGTAGCAAAAGTGATCCCACTGGACTTACTGGAGAAGCAAATCCAAGTGGACAAGCAGCGTCTCCCTTAAAGTACTAAATTGAAATATATAGTGGTGTTCGAGCAATGCTTGGGACATCTGAAGCCCATGATGACTTTAAGAGATGCAAGAATAGCTCCTGTAAAGCAGAAGGATCAGTGAAGCCAATGCTGCCAAGTAGTGCCATAGAATGGATTTCTCACTACCAAAACGGGGACCACCTTGGAGGAAACAGGCTGAGGTTTCAGATAACCTGAAGCTACCATAGGGTTCTAGGCAAATCCAAGATGAAGAGGAACATAGAAAGGACAATAGGAAAGAGACAAAGTCACCCTGAAAAATATTTGCACTAAGGCCCTGGAAAAATAGGAAGGAAAAAAAAAAGGAAAAAGAAAAATAGTGTTGTAGGTAGAATCTAGAAAATTGTTTAGAACTGTGAGCAGCGGGATTGTTCAGGGAAATGGTATGCTGTGTGCTGGCTTTGGGAAAAAACCCAGCCCAAAATATGAGTGCATAAATGGTGTGTGATTCACCATCATTTTTCTTCTTAAGGGATCAGCCCATGTGCCCTTAAATGTGAACTGCTTGAATACAAAATAATATTTCCTGTTCTCTTGATGCAAGACCTTGACAGAATGTGGTTCCTTCTGTTCCTGGCATGATCAAAAGGAGAACTGAATGAAATGGTGTGGCAACTGATAATTATAATTAATGATAGACCAGGTCTTGCAATTATTTTTTTTTTTTGCCAGGCTTGGAGAACATATTGCCTGAAATTCATGTCTTGTATCATCTTTGCAGAAAATATGACTGCTGCACTCCCTAAACACTCCCTGGAGTTTTATCTGGTGTGATCACATCCTGTTCCCAGCAAAACCATCTGAGCTTTACCAAACAGTGGATGCTGGATGTGCACGGAGAAACAAACATTTCTGGCTTTACAGCAAACATCCCCACCGGTCCCAGAGTGGAGTGTTTTGCAGACTTGCTCAGTGGAGAGATGAACCAGATCTGAAGAGCGGAGATGCACAACTGCATGACTGACACATGACACAGGAGCACACACCTAGCAAACCAGACCTGTTTCAAGTTAAATTCATGTCCTTTTAATTTTGCACAATGCAAAAAATCTGCACCTTTTGGCAAGTGCAGCAGATACGCCACAAGCAAAGCTATTGACCTGGGGAAGTGAACCTCAGAGACTGCTCCCAACTCTACCACCCAATGATCTTGATCTGCTACAAAATAATGCTCTCCCACCAGATTCCCAAGCCGATGGGATTCAATACATTACTTTTACAATGATGTCTTTTACAATGTTGAATAGTGAGTTCAGTATGGGTGAAAGCTGCTGTGTTTACTCATCTTAAACAAATTTTCACATATGAAAATGAGCACACAGGGAAGAAACCTGGAAGGTGGGAAATTGAGCCTCAGTGCTACATGTCGAAAAGCAGATTTAGTAATAATAATAAAAGAAAAATTGATCCACTTGTGTTGCAAGATTTGGTGGTTTATGTATGTGCAGAGATTTAAGGATATAAATGTTGAACACTGTTGTTATTTAACAATGAATTCCAACTGGTTTAATAAAACACTTGCTTGTCAGTTTATGACAAAATTGCTTTTAATAATGTGCAGTGAAAAGCCTTGCATTTCAGGGATATATAATATTTTAGTGTTCTTACATTTGGTAAACTCAGCACAAACTTGTCTTTAAAATAACTGCATTTACAGTCTGGCCTCTATTCTCAGTGAGGACAAATGTCTCTGTCAATTTTGAATAAATGATGAGAGAAGAAATCATGAGAAATTGAGGAAGCTCCTAACAAGCTGCATAGATGAACTGGCTGGGTGCATTTCTTTGCCTTTGCTTTCTCTGAGCACAGGTGTATAAGGAAATATGTTCACTTTTAGCTACATTCAATATGTAATAAAAAAGAACTTGTTTTTGAGTTACCTGGATGAAAAATGCATCTTTCACTGTTAAAGGACAAACATATTTTCCTACTGTAGTCTAACTCAAATACAATTCATCTACCTGCCTGCCCCGTAGTGGTTCACCCTTGTGCTCAGTCAAAGCAATGAGAAAATGAAGCCCTATAGGAGTGGTTTTTTTTAAAAGGTTATGAGGGATAAAAATAGAGATCAGCAGAGGATTAACTTTGTGGTTGAGACATTGGTGTGAGAATTCGGAAATTTATCTTCAGTTCTGAGCTTAGTCACCTCAGGCAAGTGAATTAGTCTTTCTTTGCCTCAGTTACCCATCCCTAGCATCCCTCTTTACTCACTCTTTGGATATTTTCTGTATTTAGGCTGAAGTCAGGTTATTTCTTTCTATTAATCATTTGTATACTGAGAAGTTAGGGCTGTCTTGTGGGTGCTGCTTTACTATACCTAGAATAATTGAGATAATAGTAAGAAAGGTGTAATTCTACTGCAAACATTCATTCAGGGCTGCCATTCATGCTGTTCTTCCCTTGGCAGAGGAACCCCCCACCTAAAGGTAAGTGGTAATTCAGTTTTGTTGGCATGCCGGGGAAGTTTATCACGAGCTTCTGAAAAACAGGGCCTAAAACTTTTCAAACCAGGTGCTTGTCATTTCTGCAGACTTGTGCTTTTGCAGGTGTCTCAAGCCTTGCAGCTCTTTACTGACTGCTGTGGGATTGGATGCACTTTGCAATGAGCTCCACATCTGCTTAAAAGGACTGAGAAACGGTAAGATCCTTCTGACAGTTTTATTCTGGGAAGAACTCCAAGAATGGATAGCATGACTTTTGGGATATATTTTTCCTCTGGCTCCCAAAGTGTATTAAGAAACAAAGATGACCAAGGAGAAAAGTTATATTCTTATGTACACTACCTTCAATAAGTGCCACAGGTTTTTTACCTCGAGAGTTCAATGCTGCAAAATGGTTTGACATTACAATGGAAACAACACTTTTGGAAAAAAATCACCAAAGTCTGTTTTGATCTTTTAGTAGCTTTCTGTAGTTTCAGGACAAAAAAGTAACTTCTTAACCTTTCCATGCCTCACTATCCTTTTTTAAAATTAAATCAATAAAAATCTGACTAATTTAATGAATAAAAATATTCAAATATTCTTTAATAAAGTAGAAGTCTAATTCTGAAATGAATGGAGAGGATTCCCTTGACTTCAGTGATATTAAACTTACTTATAAAAGATTTTGTCAAATGTCTGAGAGATACATTAATTTCATTATTAAAAATGAAGTTGTAGGAAAAGATCCTATATGAGACCTAACTTTATTTACTGTAAAAGCTGAATTTTCACGTCTGAATTAACGTATAAAAGGTGTGTTATCTTTTAAAGTAGATAGATCCCCTTTGTCAAAGCTGCCACAAACTAGGCTGCCTGTGTTGCTCATTTGCATCCTCATCCCACCTGTGGTCTTTTTATATATACTGGTATTTCTAAAATAATTTTGAATTGACCCTTCATTGCACTCCTCATCCTCTAACTGGTGAATTTTGAAGTATATAATCATGCTTTTTCTACTGCCCTTCCTCATGGTAATGTAACAGAAATATACCCTAAATTATCACATCACCTGCTTTCAAACTGCTCTTTTAAAAAGTCTTTTCCGTGGTGCCCTCAAAAAAGGGGACAAAGGTTTGACTATATTTTCACTAACTCCATTTCTCATAATGACCAACTTCTCCCTCAGCATTTTCCTCTGTCCTTGCATCAGAGTACACCCATCTGCTGTCTCCTGTTTTATATTCTGATTATAACCCCTTTAACATAGGAACTATTGCTTTCTCACTTCTTTTAAATTATCTGGTACAATTTTCTTCTTATCTGTGACTAAAACTCAAGTGTTACGGAAAGAAAATATAGTTATTAAGGTGGTTTAAACTTAAAAATAAAATCATGGTTAGGTAGGTATCTATTTTGAGTGTGTTTCAAATTTGGCTTAGGATCACACAGGTTATTATTACATCTGATCTTACTGAGAGGATATTGAAAAAAGTCTCTAAGCCCCTTTTATTTAGAAGACTTACAGTCTGATAGAAATTTCCAGGTAATTAAGGTGGCCTTGCACGTATTGGGCTGAGTCATCAACGTTCCTAAAATAGTTGACATTACTTCTGTCTTTTTTCTCCAGGATTTCTCTAATTCCATTCTTTAAGTGACTATTCAGAGAGCTTTTATTATAGCTCTTTTTCTTTTTTTTGCCATTTTTTTTCCTTTTTTATCCTCCTAGATGTTTTGTTCAGAAGGAATAAATTTTTTAAATATAAATACTTACTGCCAAATGAGATCCCCAGGATATCAGTGCTCATCTGCAGTTGATGGTCTGGAAGGATGCAGGTCTCCCATAGGTCTAAGTTTGAATTAAACTGAAGTACCTCATGCAGGACTGGATGTCTTAAGAATTGAGCCTTGTTCTCAATGGTCCAGTGGCTCTGTTCATGGTCTCTGGTTGCATTCGTGTTCACGTAGGATAACAAAACATGAATCTTTGTCTTCCTGGCAGAGTCTGCACTTCATGCTACAAGGTGAAGCCATAAAAATCTCTCTTTCATAATTCAGAGAATCATTGAAACATTAGATTTGGAAAAGACCTCAAAGATCACCAAGTCCTACTGTCAACCACCACCACTGAATCATGTTCTCAAGTGCCATATCCACATGTTTTTTTAATACTTCCAGGGATGGTGGCTCCACCACTTCCCTTGGCAGCCTGTTCCAGTGCTTGACAACCCTTTCCATGAAGAAATTTTTCAGTGTTCAAGAAGCATTCGAACAATATTTTTTGATAATGGTTTAACTTTTAGGCTGCCCTCAAGGAGTCAGGATTTAGGCTCAATGATCCATTTGTTCCCACCATTTCTGTTCACTCAGGAGAAAACTTACTGGCCAGGTTACACCTCTCTTTGTGTGCTCTTGGTGCCAGCAAAAAATATCCATCCACTGATGATGTATGTTGGAGTCTCTGCTAATGCTTTACATCTCCTATATTCCTCTATGATCTCAATTTTCAAAAAATGTTATCCTCCTAGGCAAGCTGTGAGAGAAACTTCATTCTGAGCAGCTCTGGTGGAGCTCTCAGCTGCCTGTCACAAGCCAGTTGTTTCCTGCCACCTGGGGGAAATGCCATCAGACTTTGTAGGAAATTTTGCTCATTTTCTGTGTGTGCTTTTTCCTCATATCTTCAAAACCAGGTGGTTTATTTCCTTTGAAATGTTTAGTCAGCTGGTTTATTTCCTTTGAAATGTTTAGTCAAGGGACGTGGTTTCCTAAACACAAGAACTTCAGTACTTTCCTACTCTCTTCTTTTCTGTGTTAGCCTGGAAGCACCTGCTCCTTCAGGCAAACCTTGGGGTGCAGTGAGCTGCTTCCCTGCCAACCTGTCTCATTTCTTACAGAGTGGTGTCCATGGTATCAGAAGTGGAAACCAGGACTTGGGTAATTTTATTAACTCATCTAGAGGAGTTATTTACATAAACTTTGGAATTTAGCAAATACTGGAGGCAAAATACATGCCAAAATTCTTGAAAAGTTGGTTTTCTGCTCATTTTTCATGTTACTCTTAATAATGGTTGGTATTGCTATAACATCAATGATTGATTGGACTACCAACTATTTCATGAACACTAAACCACTCAGAAGCAAAATGGGGTTATGTTCTGGTTTATTTATAGAAGATTTGTGGGAAAAATATAAGCAGCTGAACCAAGACCACATGGGAAATAAGTGACAGAACTAAGACCTTTATTGAAATCCCCTTTTATCTTTTCTGGAGTACGGTAGTTTTTTCCCCCTTCCTTTCTTAATAGCTATTTCTTGGTTCTTGGTCTGCAGTACTTCGAGATGTGGCCCTGATAGGTGGAGTTTGAGAGAGTGTTTAAAATTTCAGTGTAATTTGCTCATTTTCAATTTCAAATGTAATTGCTTCACAGTTCTTATTGGAGAAACACACAATCAGACAGACTACATTTTAGAAAAAGAAGAAGGCAAGTACATGGTCTGTATGTAGCCTGAGTACCCAATACCTTTAAAGAAAAAGAAAGTTTTTATCTTGAGGGCTTGGGATTTTATGCTCCTTAACATCGAGTGTATGATCTAAGCAACTGTCTCATGGTGTCCCTCTGAGAGAACTAGCAAAGTTCAACTATTTATAGTCTGAAAAAACCCACACCTTTACTAACTGTCCTTTACAGTAAATGGACTTTCATAAGCACAGAGATATGAAAGAAGAATCATTTTGAAACACATTTGCTTATTATTTTCAACACAATAAATAACCTTTTAGAGATCTATGTGCATTTCATTTGCATACTTAACAGGGATAAACCTCAGGGTTAAACTCTGTTCTTTTCTTTGCTTGCTCTTATTGTAATTTTTACAATAATGGACATGAGCTACTGAAGCAACATAAAACATCCTATGAATGACCCTCAAAACACTTTTGTGTTTGGTGAATTTCTCCAGTTTTTCATTGCCAAGTCAGAACTTGATAAAA